TGTCTGTCCGTCACACACTGTCTGCGTGTCATACTGCATAGGTAATATATAAAATATATAATAAAAACAAAATTAAATTAAAAGAAAATTATGACAAAATATTTTTCCTATATGTACTCGTGGATGTGAGGGTGGTGTAATGGATATCGACTTGAAATGAGAACACGGACAGGTGAGTTCGAATTCCAGTCGGGTTTGTTATATTCATTACGCTCGAATAACTTTGGGAGAAGTTCACTTCACCTGCCAAAGAATAGCTGGACAGATTTTTGCTTTCTGCCATAGACTTGGTTAGCAACCAACCTTCCGCAGAAAGAAATGGCAACCTGCTGCGGGAAAGTGAATGCTCAATCGAAAGATACATAATCGCCCATGCGTGTTTCGTGTACGGAACTTGACTGTGGTTATCCAGACGAATAAGGAGAATAGCATGAACTGAACATGTGAGGAACGGGGAAGTTCAAAAGTAAATAAAAACTAAAAGGAGACATAATTTGAGTCAGATCGAGAAACGGCACATAAACACAGCACGCATAAGGGCAAATTTGGTACAAGGTCAGTTTAATAGGAGTAATTAATCTAGCGAGACAAGCTTACTAACCATTACACGACGTCGAGGTGCCCATTCCTACGCGTAGCTTAGATAAGGATAACAGTCCGAATAATGTAAATAATGCAAGTAATCACAATACCTCATCTCAGAGATATAGAGACTGAAACGTTGTGAATATGGCAATGAAGATGAGGATAACAGTCTTAATAATGTAAATAATGCAAATAATCACAATACCTCATCTCAGAGATATAGAGGCTGAAACGTTGTGAATATGGCAATTAAGATGAGGATAACAGTTCAAATAATGTAAATAATGCAAGTAATCATAAGACCTCATCTCAGAGATATAGAGGCCGAAACGTTGTGAATATGGCAATGAAGATGAGGATAACAGTCCGAATAATGTAAATAATGCAAGTAGTCATTATTATCTCTTCGATTTACATGAGCTCATAAGAAAGACTTCTTTTGTATGTCATGACGACGACGATCATGGCCAAACACAACGACTTATCCTTTTTTTCCTCTAAGCAATATTTGTCTCCTTAATAACCCTCTCAGTCAGTGTTTCGTCACCCATTTACATAAGCTCGTTACGTAGGTTACTCACTGCTTTCCTCTGCCCTTCTTGCCTTCAATATGTCCTATGTGTGTCAAATTTTTAAAGCTCTCTTTTCTTATCATATGTGTTCCAGAGATAATCGACTCATATGGCGGTTGAAATTTCTAGGACACATAATGAGGAAAGACGGCTTAGAAAATTTGACACTCACAAGACATTGAAAGAAGGGGTTGCGTATGGAAATCGAAATATCTGAGGAGTTTGACCGAAAGAATGTTACAGTGAAGAAAAAGAGGGATCAAAAAGTATCAAACATTACTTAGTTCAACAAGATGATGTGGAGAGCCATGATCACCCAAGTCCTGAATGGATACTGCACATAGGAGGAGGAGAATATATTAAGGTGATTTTCTAATTATAGCTTAGATGTAGCACAAGGCTGATTTAATGGGGCACCCAGTGAGCATCGAACTTATTATTCAGTCGTAATTGATCTAGCGAGAGAAGCTTGTTAACCATTACACCACATCGAGGTACCCTTTACTCTGCGTACCTTAGATGTAGCACAACGCCGAGTGTGTGGAGCGCCCAGTGAGGATCGATCTCTCTACTCAGTCGTAATTGATGTAGCGAGACAAGCTTGTTAACCATTACACCACGTTAAAGTGACCCAAGTAGAATATACTAAGAATACTTCAAAAATGTCATTTCCGAACCGATTTAAGTTGAGAATGCCATCGACGTAACATTTGAACAATCAGGAACTTATAAGGAAAATGCCAAACGAAAAAGATTTTTTCTTCGAAACAGAAAGTGACAATTGAAATTTCTAAGTCACATAACAAGGAAAGGGGACTTGGAGAAATTGACACTCAAAGGATAATTTAAAGACATAGAGAACAAAGAGAAAATATCGAGTATCCTCACCTAACAAGCTTGTGTAAATACATGACAGTACAAGTTAGTCGGAGAGAGAGGATGGCGACAAAGAGTAAGAAGCTGTGGAGATCCATTATCGTCTTCGTTCTTCTATAATAAGAAGTAAAAAGATAAAAGTTTTCAAAAAGTTTGGAGTACCTCTTGGGTTGGTGCATAATTATCAGGCGTTTTTAAATTATTATGAAAAAAGAAATAATTCAACAATAAGATTTTTAAATGATTATTCCGGGGCGTAGTCACCATCTACTTCAATAACTGCTTCCAATTTGCTTGGAAGACGGTCGATTCCACGTGCAAAGAAGTCATGCTTCTTGGAGACAATCCATGCTTTGACATCAGCCACCAAATTATCCAAATCGGCATAAACTTTGTTCACCTGCCAATTTTTCAGCGATCGATTAACGTGGTATTCTGTAGGCGCTTCAGAGAATATGGCGGATGTGGAAGCTGTTCCCAGCTCTTAATAGCGACACATTCGACAACACGACATTATCATAATACCTTATCTCAGAGATATAGAGGCTGAAACGTTGTGAATATGGCAATTAAGATGAGGATAACAGTTCAAATAATGTAAATAATGCAAGTAATCATAATACCTCATCTCAGAGATATAGAGGGCGAAACGTTGTGAATATGGCAATGAAGATGAGGATAACAGTCCGACGCGGATTATCGTGGTGGAAGTCGATATGGTTCTTTTTGCGTGGTCTTTTCGTCTCGATTGCAGCATGAAGGCGGTCAAGTTGAGCCATATAGACATCGCTGTTGATGTTGAATCGCCGCTTGTCGTTTTCGTCTGGAATCCACCACTGTTGACGCTCATCGTCGTCATTCCACTAATACGAAAATCCCTTTTGAGATGCTTTCCCAATGGATGATTCCGCTTCTGTCTCACCAAACACACCACATTGCCTTCACACAGTGCACGTTTTTCGGTATTCCATTTCGTGAAACTCCTGGAGAAACGCAGACCTTTCTGTTGACGTTTCTCAAGAGAAGCCATGATTCATTCCTAGTTACAAGATTCTTCAGAAATGGAGCTTGCTCGTTTCGTTACAGCAAATCAGTAAAAATTCGGCCATGTTCAACTTTAGAGAGAGTTCTAAGGGACCCATTCAGCCAATTTCCATACTTTTCCGAGGTTTTTGGGACGATGGTTAAATGGTCCACATTCGTCCAGCATTCGAATTGTCAAGCTTTCGTCTTCTTCCACGGCTGCCAAAAGTGCCTTGTCGTCGAAATCCAATGGTCGATCTCCTCCTGGCTTACCTTCCAAGCTAGTGCCGATAGATTTGAAACGGGCAAACCATTCCCTGCGTCGACTAACGCTGATTGTTCCTTTGCCAAAAGGTTCGTTAAGATCGCGAAATAACTGCGCTGCTTGCCATCCTCTTTCGAAATGGTAAAGCATAAGATGACGAATATAGATACGATTATCGACACGCATTTTTATAACCTGAAAATAAAATAACGTTTTTATTTAAAAAGAAGTAAACAACACAGTAATTTAACTCGCCTACAAAAACGCCTGATAATTATGCACCAACCGAATAGTAACTCGCTAAACTTTTTATCACCCCTTAAGTTCTTTTTTTTACGCTACAAAGATCTGTTGGAACTGCTCAGCAACCTTGGCATATTTGGGGAAGATATTAGAATAATCAAGAACCTATACTGGCAGCAAACAACCTGCATATGGACAGAATATGAGTTCAGAAGATAGAAAGGGGGCGTAAGAATATTGGAATATCGAACCGAACCGTTTAATTCGTCCACCGGGGCAGGCTGCTCTAGTTCCAGGTGCCATGCCTCTTCTCGGTTATTTCCCTTTATTTCAACTCTCCAAGTTTTTCGTTCACCACTGTTGTGGCGTAGTATTGAACTCACAACTCCTTGGATCTAGTCAATGGATCTAACCAACACCTTTATCCACTTTTTAGAAATTACAATCACCTGAAGAAAGCCGGAGCGTACAACGGCCGAAACGTTGTGAATATGACAATGAAGATGAGGATAACAGTCCGAATGCAAGTAATCATAATAACTCATCTCAGAGATATAGAGGCCGAAACGTTGTGAATATGGCAATGACGATGAGGATAACAGTCCGAATAATATAAATAATGTAAGTAGTCATTATTTTCTCTTTGAGTTAAAGGAGCTATCCATTATAGCTGTCGCTTTTGTTGAAAGGGTTTTTGTTAACGATTCTGTAGCGCCAGTCCCCGAGGTTCGAAGAATGATGGTCCCGCTAAGACCTACATGCTTCATTTGTTGGAAGCCATTTTTAATCATTGATCTGAGAAAAGCGTCTGTATACAGCTGTTAAAATGGTTATGGTGAATGGGATGTGTGATACAAATGTCAGAGATGCAATTTGTAATGTATAATTTCACCATCAGCTCGTTAAGAATTAGTAAAAGGCAAAGTGTTCTCTGTTGTTTAAATTTTCATCCCAATCCTATCAAAAACAACAAGCAGTGTTTGATAGAACTGCATAGAAGCAAGACGAATGCAAATTGGTGGCAACAGTAAGCCAAGCAAGACACGGGCAGTTTTTTTTTTTTTTAAAAACAAGTTTAACTAAAAAGCTCATTAGAAGCTTCCAGAAACAATTTTAACGATTTGAACTGTCTTTAATCTAACATTATTATGAGGGCCGGATATCAAAGGGTGGTAGAAGGTTAGGGTAAGAAGCGGGGATTTGAAGAAAAACAAGCGGCAAAAGAGATAATTTTCTCTGATGCAGACGATCTAATGGGCGTCTTCTCACTTGCGCTGTTTTCGAAGAATATTATAAGAACGTTTGAATTTAAATAGCATAAAATCTTCATACTAGTAATATCGGGAGGCAGACGTGACGAGAAAGAAGAATCGAAGGATGATAAAGAAGGAAATGGAAGGAAAAGAAAAAAAGAAAGAAAAGGGAGGAAAAGACCCTCATTTGAAAAAAGAAAAGAAAGGAAAATTCTTAAAAAAGAAAAGGAATAAAAAGGAGGAGGGAAAGAAAAAGAAAAAAAGAAGAAATGTTCGGTAAAAAAGGAAGAAAAAGACGGAATACAGAAAAGGAAAACGAGAAGGAAAGAAGGAAGGGTGGGATAAAGAAAGCGTTAGAAATGGATGGAAGTAGAAGAAAAAAACGAGAAAGAAGGAACTAAGAAAAAAAAACAACTTAAGAAAGAAAGAAACAACGAAAAAGAAAGAAACAATTTAGGAAAAGAAAGAAGGAAATCAGAAAAGGAAAGACCTTAGAAAAAGAAAGAAACAACTTAGAATAAGAAAGAAACGAAAAAAAGAGAGAGAAGGAAATTAGAAAAAGAAAAAGAAACTAAGAAAAAAAAGGAACTTAGAAAAAGAAAGAAGCAACTTAGAAAAAGGAAGAAGGAACTTACAAAAAGAAAGAAACAACAGAAAAAGAGACAAGGAAATTTGAAAAAGAACGAAGGAATTTAGAAAAAGAAAGAAGCAACTTAGAAAAAGAAAGAAACAAGAAAAAAGACAGAAGGAATTTAGAAAAAGAAAGAGAAGGAACTAAGCAAAAGAGAGAAGGAAATTAGAAAAAGAAAAGTTTGGATAAAAATCGAAAATCGAATGAAAGCCAGTGAAGGCAAAAAAAGAGAAAGAAAGTAAAGAAATAATTAAAAAAAAAGAACGAAAAGGCAAACATTTTAAAAGAAAAGCAAGAGAAAGAAATGAAATAAAAAAGGGAAGAAAAGTAAAAGAGAAAGAAAAGAACAGAATAAACGTAAAGGGAACGAGCAAGGAAGGAAATTTAATAAAAAAAAAAACAAAAAACAAGAAGGAATGAAAAGTGTAGAAGTATAAAAAAGATCGAGTCTTAAATTTTATTTCTTTTCAAAACCGATTTTTATTCTTTTTTTCAATAGAAGAGAATTGAATGATTGATTCGGGAAAAACAATTAGATAAACAAGGAGGCTGTGGAAGGTAAAGAATGGCTAGAAAATGGGGGGGATGGAAAAGAAAACATGAGTGAAGAAAGAAAGAAACGAATGAAGACGAAAAAGAAGGAAAAGAAAGAAAGAAAGAAAGAAAAGAAAGAAAGAAAGAAGGAATAGAAAGAAAGAAAGAAGGAATAGAAAGAAAGAAAAATAAGAAAAGAAGGAAGGAAAAAGAAAATGAAAGGAAAGAAAGAAGAGAGTGAAGGAATGGAAAGAAAGAAAGAAAGAAAGAAAGAAAGAAAGAAAGAAAGAAAGAAAGAAAGAAAGAAGAGAAAGAGGGAAAGGAATAGATAGAAAGAAGAGAAAGAAGGAAAGGGAAGAAAGCAGAAGTGAAAGAAGGAAAGGAAAAGAAAATGAAAGGAAAAAAAAAGAAAAGAAAGAAAGAAAGAAAGAAAGAAAGAAAGAAAGAAAGAAAGAAAGAAAGAAAGAAAGAGATAAAGAAGGAATAGATAGAAAGAATAGAAAGAAGGAAAGGAAAGAAAGAAGAAGTGAAAGAAGGAAAGGAAAAAGAACATGAAAAGAAAGAAAGAAAGAAAGAGAGAAAGAAAGAAAGAAAGAAAGAAAGAAAGAAAGAAAAAGATGAAGACGGAATAGATAGAAAGAAGGAAAAGGAAGAAAGAAGAAGTGAAAGAAGGAAAGGAAAAAGAAAATGAAAAGAAAGAAAGAAAGAAAGAAAGAAAGAAAGAAAGAAAGAAAGAAAGAAAGAAGTGAGGGAACGGAAAGAAAGAAAGAAAGAGAGAAAGAAAGAAAGAAAGAAAGAAAAAGATGAAGACGGAATAGATAGAAAGAAGGAAAAGGAAGAAAGAAGAAGTGAAAGAAGGAAAGGAAAAGAAAATGAAAAGAAAGAAAGAAAGAAAGAAAGAAAGAAAGAAAGAAAGAAAGAAGTGCGGGAACGGAAAGAAAAAGAAACGAAAGAAGGAAAAGAAAGAAAGAAAGAAAGAAAGAAAGAAAGAAAGAAAGAAAGAAAGAAGATAAAGAAGGAATAGATAGAAAGAAGAAGAGAAACAAGGAAAGAAAGAAGAAGAGAAACAAGGAAAGAAAGAAGAAGAGAAACAAGGAAAGGAAAGAATGAAATGAAAGAAAGAAGAGAAAGAAAGAAGAAGAGAAAGAATGAAATGAAAGAAAGAAGAGAAAAAAAAAGAGGAGGAAGATAGAAATCGAAAGAAAGAGTTGAAGGAGAGTGGAAAGAGTCAGGAAGAAACTTCGATTAAGATAGCTAAAGAAAGAAGCAGAAATAGGTTTTGGAAAATGAAAAATAAGTGGGTAAAAAAACACGATAAACCAGGATAAAGAGGCGATACCGAAAAAAAACAAAAGCGAAAGAAAAGAATCAAGAAAAGAAATAAGAAATTAGTCAACGGGAAGGGTAAAAATGAAAAGAAAGAAAGAAAGAAAGAAAGAAAGAAAGAAAGAAAGAAAGAAAAGAAAAGAAAAGAAAAGAAAAGAATTATAAAAGAGGAACAACGATAGATACTGTATGTAGTCTAGTAACAATTCTAAGTAGGAACTTATGAAAGCTTTATTTGACTAATTCAGCTTTAATGCTAAAAAAAAGTTTATTTTATTGTGATGGATGCTTACAAGTGAAAACGACGGGAGATGTCCTTATTTTATTAGCACATTATTAAAAAAAAAAAAAAAATGAAAGGGTAAGAAAAAAAGGTTAATCGTCAATGGTGGTGATGTTGATCATTGAGTAACCCCGGAGTGCGATATGCCTTTATAAAATAAAACCTTCGATAATAAATCGTATACAAGTCAGAATGACACTTTTTTTTAGATATAAAAGTGTGTTTTAATGGCCCTTAAAATCTGTCTTTTATTGAGCGAGGGAAAAGTTCTTTAAAAATAACATTTCATTACGTGAGCCAATACTATAAAATTGACGGCTAATCTGGAATATAAAGTGAAACTGCTTTAAAGTACTTAAGCCCTTTATCTTCTGGAGGAGGTTAATCTGTATATTCGACTTTTCCTTATCCATCGATTATGTCGAACCAAATAAGCAGTCTTTATATAATAATGATTTTCTCATAGATAGATAGATAGATAGATAGATAGATACATACATACATACATACATAGATAATGAACAAAAAGAGCTAGCTAGTTAGATAGTTCGATATATATGTATATATATATATATATATAATGACTGCGATAGATATATAGATAAATAGATATAAAATGACTGAGATAGATAGATAGATAGATAGATACATACATACATACATACATATATACATACATAGATAGATATGAAATGACCGAGATAGATAGATAATGAACAGACTGAGCTAGCTAGCTAGATATTTCGATATATATATATATATATAATGTGTGTGTGTGTGTGTGTGTGTGTGTGTGTGTGTGTGTGTGTGTGTGTGTGTGTGTGTGTGTGTGTGTGTGTGTGTGTGTGTGTGTGTGTAAAAATATATAGAAAATATGAAAGAACTCGTTTGGTAAATAATCCAAAATTCTTTAGTATTTTTGTTATTATTTTTTAAAAATGGTGCTCGATACAAAAGTAGAGCCTAAATATAATTATTTATTTAAAAATATGATTCAACACGCTACATAAAAGTTCTCATGTTTCAAAACAAGAGTTGAAAACTTCAATATAATTATTGAATTAAATTATATTGAAGTTTTTTTGCTTTGAAACATGAGAACTCTTATGTAGCGTGTTGAATCATATTTTTAAATAAATAATTATATATATATATATATGTGTGTGTGTGTGTGTGTGTGTGTGTGTGTGTGTGTGTGTAATATGACTGAGATAGATAGATAGATAGATAGATAGATAGATAGATAGATAGATAGATAGATAGATAGATATGAAATAACGAAAGTGAGAATGAAAGAAAAGTACATGAGAAGGGAGGGAGGGGCAAAGAAAGAATGAAAGGAAAAGGAAAATGAAAGAAAAGTACGTGAGTAAGGTGCGAGGGAGAAGGGAAGGAAAATGAGGACAAAGGAAAATACGTGAAAAGCGAGGGAGGGAAAAGGGAAAAAAGAGAAAGCAAAGTATTTGATAAAAAAATTGAGGGAAAACGAAACAGGAAAAGAAAGAAAGAAAGAAAGAAAGAAAGAAAGAAAGAAATTAATATCTCGATGCGATGATAAAGAAAATCGGAAGACATGAATAGGTTATAGAAAAGAAAGAAAGAAACGAGTAAAATAGAAAGAAAGGAAGAAAGAAATAGAGAAAAAGAAAGAAAGAAAGAAATATCTAGATGCAGAAATAAAGAATTGTAGAAACAAGAAAAGGTTATACAATATAAAAAAAGAAAGAAAGAAAGAAGTAAAATAGAAAGAAAAAAGAAAGGAAGAAACAAATAGAGAAAAGAAAGAAAATTGAAAGAAAGAAAGAAAGAAATTAATATCTCGATGCAATGATAAAGAAAATCGGAAGACATGAATAGGTTATAAGAAAGAAAGAAAGAAAGAAAGAAAGAAAGAAAGAAAGAAATATCTAGATACAGAGATAAAGAAATGTAGAAAACAAGAAAAGGGTTATACAATACAAAAAAGAAAGAAAGAAAGAAAGAAAGAAGCAAAATAGAAAGAAAAAATAAAGAAAGAAAGAAATAGAGAAAAAGAAAGAAAGAAAATTGAAAGAAAGAAAGAAATTAATATCTCGATGCAATGATAAAGAAAATCGGAAGACATGAATAGGTTATAGAAAAGAAAGAAAGAAGAAGTAAAATAGAAAGAAAGGATGAAAGAAAGAGAAAAAGAAAGAAAGAAAGAAAGAAAGAAAGAAAGAAAGAAAAAAAGAAAGAAAGAAAGGAAATATCTAGATACAGAGATAAAGAAATGTAGAAAACAAGAAAAGGTTATACAATACAAAAAAAGAAAGAAAGAAAGAAGTAAAATAGAAAGAAAAAAGAAAGAAAGAAAGAAAGAAAGAAATAGAGAAAAAGAAAGAAAATTGAAAGAAAGAAAGAAAGGATGGAAATTTAATTAAAAAAAAACAAAAAAAAAAACAAGAAGGAATGAAAAGTGTAGAAGTATGAAAAAGATCGAGTCTTAAATTTTATTTCTTTTCAAAACCGATTTTTATTCTTTTTTTCAATAGAAGAGAATTGAATGAAAGAAAGAAAGAAAGAAAGAAAGAAAGAAAGAAAGAAAGAAAGAAAGAAAGAAATTAATATCTCGATGCAATGATAAAGAAAATCGGAAGACATGGATAGGTTATAGAAAAGAAAGAAAGAAAGAAAGAAAGAAAGAAAGAAAGAAAGAAAGAAAGAAAGAAAGAAAGAAAAAGAAAGAAAGAAAGAAATAGAAAAAGTAAAGAAAGAAAAAGAAAGAAAATAGAAAGAAAGAAAGAAAGAAAGAAAGAAAGAAAGAAAGAAAGAAAGAAGATCACAAAAACAACGAAACAATAAGAAAATAAATTTGTTAAATGAATAAATAAATACCACTTTAAGTTTAATGGACTGGAGAAAGGAAGAAAAAGCGAATGATTTAAACGAAAATAATGAGAGAGAAAGAGACAAAGAGAAAGATAACAAAAAGAATGAAAAAGAAACGTAACTGATTACATTGATGAAATGAAAGGATTATAATATTTTCCCCACAGGTGAAAAAAGAAAAAGATTCTAAAGACGATTGCATCAAAATAGACCGACTAATGCCAGATGGAAAAAGAAAAAAGAATGAGTCTTAATTTCCTTTTCCACTAATCAAACTAATGACTATGAAAGAAAAGCCAAACGTTCTTTCTATTGAAATAGTCTCTACTAATATCATTGAAATCAACGAGATGAATTCCGGTTTTATATAATTGACCAGTCAACATATAAACAGCCTCATTTTCATTTTTTTTTTAAATGCAAAATGGAGACCTATTTATTTTAACCATTGGTTTCTCCGTCTTTTCTTTATGATTAAAACTTTCCGAGACTTTATTGAACATTTTTTTTACGTCTTCATTGCTTATTAATTTTAAATTACCGAAATATGAGTTCATGCCATTTTCGGAAGGATTGCTTAAATATTTCTGTCGGTGAATTATGAAAGAAATAGCTCTGATTTTTTTTTTTTTTTTAAAGAAGGAAAAAAATTGAATCATGTCTTTTTTTAATTTTTTATTTTATTTTCCAAACATTGAATGTCTTCTAACGATTAAAATTTGAAAGAATAGTTGTCAGGCGTTAACCAAAAATAAATACCATTGGTTTGATTTTAATGTTAAACTCCAAACGAATTGATTTTCAGCCCTTTTGCTTTCTACTATAAAACCATAGGGAACAGTATCATAAAAAAATAATACAACACTTTCTTTTAAGACATATGTTACATTACTTTTAAAAAAAAATAATTGTTAGCAAGGCTCAAGAGACATTCAAGACAGAGACTTGAGAAGGATTAATATGATGAGGAAATGTCGGATAAAAAAGATTTGACATTAGAATTGAAGATTGTAGGATAAAAAGAAACACTCCCTCGGGAGTCTGATCCACGAAATAGAAGTGCACGACAATAAACTTTAAGCGGAATATCCGCATTAAAAATAGAATACAAAGTGAATGAGGATGATACGAGGATTTGTACATGGTAATCCAGATCCTAGATGCAATGGTCTGAACAGGTGGAACTAAGGAATGTAGCTCTTCTGAACATTTGCCATGGAAATAGCGATAGGGTAGAGAGAGGCTTAGCTGTAAAGGTCTGAACAGGTGGAACTAAGGAATGTAGCTAGTCTGAACATTTGCCATGGAAATAGCGATAGAGTAGAGAGAGCCTTAGTTGTAAAGGTCTGAACTGGTGTAACTAAGGAATGTAACTCGTCTGAACATTTGCCATGGAAATAGCGATAGACTAGAGAGAGCCTTAGTTTTAAAGGTCTGAACTGGTGGAACTAAAGAATGTAGATCGTCCGAACATTTGCCATGGAAATAGCGATAGACTAGAGAGGGGCTTAGCTGTAAAGGTCTGAACAGGTGGAACTAAGGAATGTAACGCATCTGAACATTTGCCATGGAAATAGTGATAGATTAGAGCGAGGCTTAGCTGTAAAGGTCTGAACTGGTGGAACTAAGGAATGTAGCTTGTCTTGACATGGAATACGAAATATTAACACGTGTACTTGGTCATGTTTCATTGGAAAAATACGAAAAAATTAAATAATAACTGAATTATTCGTTTTTATTCAATTAATTTGCACAAGGGTTTATTTCACCTTTATGAATTACAATTTAGCCAACAGGGCAGAAGCATAGTTGTTTGCTATGGAATTAAGTTACCATTACTTGTCTATAATGAATTTCGGAGTTTAATTAGGAAAGTTTACAAAGTGGGAATTTGGGTCCTTATGAGTTTTCCAGTGCGAACCAAACGTTTTTCACTATTTGTAGCGGTCTTTTACAAAAGAACGACAGCCTAATCTATATAAATAAATGCAAATATCAGTGTGTCAGTGTGTCACACTTTTTCAACTTTACTCCTAGAGGCCATAGCCCAACATCTCATACCATTTTGGAATCAGGCCGATTCCGTGAGCAAATTAAAAATATTCCGAGATGAATCTAAACCCGTCAATCCTGAAATTCTGGTTTCTCAAGTTTTTATTACTGTGATTGTTTTTGGCAATTATTTTACGTTATTTTGCGAAGAATTTTGATAGCAGAAATAAATTTGGGAATAATCGAAATTAATTGCGAAATCCAGCAAAAGTCACCTATGAAATAAAAATATTTTTTTTTGCACAGAAAGTAAGGACCTACATACATCTCATTATCTTTAAATTAAGTGGTGGCAAAAGATTTATCGTTGAACTTTTAAAAGGTAAGCTTAAATATTAATGCAATACTTAAATACAGCGATCAATTTTGAGTTCTGTAATTTATTGTTGCCTGTCGCATACGGTAGCAGTATGCCTCGCAAAAAGAAATCTCCGGCAACAAAAGACCAGATTGCAATCAAAAGAGCCAAGGTTGCAGCGAGGAAAAGAAAGTCTCGTGCAAATGATAACTCAGATCAAATGGCATCCGGGAGAGCTTTTGATTTTGAGAATATGCCAAGATTTTAGGGACACTCAAACTCCTCAAGAAGCTGAAGGGCCAATCAAGAGCCCTCCGCGGGAGATAGCTAAAATGCCGCTGATAGGGCGGCTTTGAAGCGAGCAACTAATATTTCAATAAATTTACCTTTGTTTTTATACAAGGTTATTCAAAAAGAATAAACCGATTTCATTACGCAATATTTTAATAAGGAAAAGCAATAGAAAACTGCAGCTAAGTCACAAGTATTCTATTCACAATCAACTTTTATTTCCTACCTTACAAGTGTTCAATGTGGCCACCACCTGCATAATGGGCAATATCAATGCGATAAGAGAATTCCTCCCAGAGCCGTATCAGCATATCACGATCCACTGGGGTTGATCGCTCTTGATATTCGATGTTTAAGGTCATCGAGGTAAATGTGTAGAGGTGGAACATAAACGCGGTCTTTTACGTATCCCTACATGAAAAAATCACATACTATGAAGTCTGGGGATCTCTCAGGCCAAGCAGAAAGAGCGAGGTCTTGGTAAGTGCCTGGACGAGGTGTAGTCTGTAAGGTTTCAAATGTAGACGTCTTCTTTGCATACGCCAGATAATGGATTGAAAAATCGCAAGCTCACGGCTAGCTCGAATTGTGGACTTCTGTGGACTCGCCTCAAACGCAGCACAGATTCTCGTCACTCGTTCCTCCGAAACTCGTGGTCGTCCTGGACTTTTTCCTTTACACAGACACCTACTTTCTTGAGACGTCGTATGTTCTTAGGGGGAATTAATGTCGATTTGCCTTCGAAAAACACGCTGCATCTTGAAAACCGTATTTGTTTTCGCGTACTCGAGAATGCAGAATGCCTGAGATCTCGCCATTGCCAGGGTAAACAAACAACTGAACGTTACCGGAAATACGACCCGGGTACGGTGCCCCTGTGGAAGCCATTCAAAACATAGTAAAATCCTCTTTCAAATGGCCACTGACTCATTCCATGACGATGCTTGAGGATTGAAGCAATGCCTCATGAAATCGGTTCATTCTTTTTGAATAACCCTATATGAACGGTTCATATCTTAGCTGCGTTGGGTTAATTAATACTCATAGGAACAAGTTAAGAGAATCCTGTTGGATTTTACGGAGTTTTTTATGTCTTTTCTTATTAAACGTCATTTCTTTCCGAACAACCTATATATATATATATATATATATATATATATATATATATATATATATATATATATATATATATATATTCTGTCACTTTCACTTTCACTTTCACTTTCACTTTGGTATTCGTACTATGTCCCTTAAATCTAACAGTCACTTATCACGGTATATTTTAATCGTTTAATCCGATTTGAATCTGCCATTTAACTAATCTTAAGTGTTACAAGTTTTTGACAAACATGGACATCTAAGATAGAAACATTCCGAACCTGAAATATATCGGCCAAATCTCCGTTTAATCTGGATTAAAGCTGATGTTCTTTCTGCACTTCAGTAATCTCCGGATTTCAAAACGTATTATCTCAACAACGTTGCATGTGATAAGGAAATGAGAAGAGACTGAAATAACAAAATGTGTCTTCAGAGAATGTGTTTCAAATGATTGATTTGTTTATTACGGTTTATCAACCCTTTACAGGTTATTTAAAGACAGAAAATATTTTTAGATTGTAAGAATTTTGTGGGGGATGATAATCTGCTCTTTACTCTCTATCAGTCACCTGAGAGAACCTATCCTGCCTTCCATCAGCATGGCTGATGCTAACCCCCATGACAGCGACTCGTTGCGCCTTCACAGACATGAAGTGGATAGATTATATTGAATCAGTTTCTCGGTCTAGTGCTAGGAAACTTGGTTCACTGTGTCATTCAAGACAATTTTTACTCTCCAGAATGTATCTTACATATTTCTAAGTCTGTCATTCGTCCTTGCTTAGAATAATGCTGCCACTTTTAGTCTGGTTCTTCTGCTATATATTTAGAGATTCTTGATAAAATCAAAAGAAAAATCTTACATATTATTAGTACTGACACGACATCTCGGCTTCAGTTACTTTCCCACCGCCGTAATATTGCTCCCCTGAACTTTTTCTATAAATACTATCCTGGTTATTGTTCTGGCGAACTTTCCTCTATGGTACCTAGACTTTATGAATTTAAGCGCAGTACTAGATTGGCGGTAAGGTCTCATTTTACTGTTGAACTGGCTAAATGTAACCGTAAATTCTATATTGACAGTTTCCTCTATCGCACTTTTCGCTTGTGGAATTCTTGCTTCTCAGTCAACGTTGATCGCCAAAACTTTACATCTAATGCTTAGAATGATAATGACTTTTCTCATAATTACAGAAGATATCTTAAACAAAATTCGTTTGAACAATACTTGGAATTATAACGACTTTTCTCAAATGATAAAAGATAACTTAAGCAAAAAGAATGAAATCAGTAGTCCGAACAATTACTGGAACGATAATGACTCTTCTGAAAATTATAGTGTCTTAAGGAAAAACTTATGATTCTGTTCATAATTAGAAAAGATGTCTTATACATAAAGAATAACATCAGTACTCCGTTCAATTTTTGGAATGATAATGACTCTGCTCATAATTAGA